TCATTTTTAAAGTTGTGTTAATCAATGACTCTATTGTGTTTGTTTAAACGTCCACATTGCCTAACGATATATGCAGGAATTGGTAAATAATGGAAAAAACACAATAATTAAAACGTCTTTATTTCCTGTCGTCCCCTCCCTCCCCGTCGCTCTGTTTTACCACAGAATGATCCCCCCATCCAGCAAGAACTTCCTGGTCAACAACCTGGCGGCGGGGACGCAGTACGACCTCTGCGTGCTGGCCATCTATGATGACATCATCACCTCCCTGACGGCGACGCGCGTGGTGGGCTGCGTTCAGTTCTCCACCGAGTCGGAGTACATGAGGTGTCATTTCATGCAGTCTCAGTTCCTCGGCGGCACCATGATCATCATCATCGGAGGGATAATCGTAGCCTCGGTGCTCGTCTTCATCATCATCCTGATGATACGCTACAAGGTGGGTCTCAGTCTGTCTCCATGAATCCCCTCTGCTCAGAAAGGACAGAGAATGAGAGGAGAGAGATTTTCATTTCAGGAGCGAGTGGCGTTGTCACATGGCGGCCTGCCGTCCCGGCCTGGTCTGCTGCTTAGTAACAAGCAGATCACTTCTCTTTGAGATAAGATAACTACTGTGGAATATTCGTTACATATGTTTCTATACTTATGTATCGTGTATTATTAACTTTTTGTGGAAGCCCCCCCCCCAACCCCTGAAATTCAAATTGATAGAAATAAAATATAGTAATAGGTTATAAAACTGACCCAAGATTTAGCTTCCATTGCTATTTCATCCTGCAGAATTAAGACATTAAAGTTTTTGCAGCTTGTATGTTTAAAAAAAACTAGGACATTTCCTGCTTGTTTACAGTGGCGGTTCTGGGGGGGGGCAACAGGGACCAGTGTAACAATGAGCTTTGACCCCCCCCTGTGGCCCTCCTGCGAAAGAAAAAGTATATGATATTACTATTTGTGATAGTGTTGCAGCAAAGATTGCTCTGACATGAGCCAAGTTAACAGTAATGTATTTTGCTTTACAATTATGTCATCTAATTAAATTGTCAAGTTTCTGACACCAATCATTTTATTCTTCTTTTTTACTTATGACTTGATATTGTGACATTATACTGAACCAGAAATGTTCTTGAACGCTGTCCGTGTCCCGTTTGTCTTTCCTTAAATGCCCCTCGTGTAAAAGACCTGGCCCCAGCATGGAACCCCGAGTAGAGTTGGTCTAGAACTCCCACTGCTTATTTCATTCATGTAATAACAAACTAAAATGTGTTTAACTATACGTAAAACTTGATATGTCCATATTTCGGAATGAAACAAAAATGATCAACACCTCATTGCTTTCCTCCTCTGTTCCCTCAGGTGTGTAACCCCGGTCAGGGCGGTAAAGGCGTCTCCTTGTCGATGACCAACGTTCACTCGCAGACCAACGGGCAGCAGTCTCAGGGATGCACCGTCACCCCCAGCTCCTCCAAACACGGCTCCATCGGGTTGGACGACCTCTCTGGAGGCTCAAAGAAGAGGGGGGGCAAGGATACCATAACTCAGTCGTCCGACTCCTCCCTGCCCGACTGCTCCACCGCCACCTCGGTCCTCAGCCAGTCCTGGGCGGCCAGGAGCCCGACAGCCGCAGCCGAGGACCGGGAGAAGAGGGGTGAGGAGAGGGCCATGGTTGGCGTCTCGTCGCCCAACGGCACCACCGGCACCCTCCCCAAGCCGAAGCGTAAACCTGCTCCAGGAAAGCCGGGCGGTTCCAGCACCTCGGCCCCCCCTGAAAACCCACCATCCCCCTCCCCTCGCCCTCCTTCCTCAGCATACTCCACCCCCTCCTCCGTGCTCCTGCCCTCCACCCCTCTGGAGAACCTCAACACCAACCGCAACAACTCCACCTCGCTCAACCAAACCCCGCCTCCTTACGTCCCTTCGCCTTACCCCACCCTGCCGTTCAAACCGAGCCCCGTCCCCTCCATCCGGTTCAGTGAGACCCCCATCCTGCGCCGGGCCCCCCGTGGCGCCTCCGCCTCCAGCAAGTACCTGACTCTCCCTGCGGAGGAGCTGGGGAGGAGCAGGGCGAGGAGGAGGAACTCGCTCTGTGACGGAGGCTCAAAGACTCACCCCGCCCATCAAGGAGCAGCAGGACCACCCAAAATAGGGCGGATAATGCGGAACAAAAGGAGCCAATCAATGAGCGGGATTCTACTCCCCAAAGACGGGGACGGAGAATCGGACAAAGGGCGGTGCGACTCGGACTGGATCCTAGAGAGCACCGTTTGAACTGGAGAGAGACAGCAACCATTCAAATAAACTTTGTTTTTCCATTTTTTGTATGTCTGAGGTTTGGGTCGGTGAGTGGGTTTGAATTTGTTGAGAGGTGTGTGTGTGTGTGTGTGTGTGTGTGTGTGTGTGTGTGTGTGTGTGTGTGTGTGTGTGTGTGTGTGTGTGTGTGTGTGTGTGTGTGTGTGTGTGTGTGTGTGTGTGTGTGTGTGTGTGTGTGTGTGTGTGTGTGTGTGTGTGTGTGTGTGTGTGTTGCTGTTTAGGATGTGTGTACAGTGTGTTTGTGTTCATGTTGGAACCTTTTGTTGTGTGTTTCTGGGTGAGCTTTTTCTGTTCGCTGCCTGTGTTTTTTTAATTTGTATTATTTTCATACTCTTTTCACCACAAATCTCAGTTTACAGGTTTTTTATTCACTTTGAAAGATTCCTGTCTGTTTTCCGGTCGCCTTGTCTCGTAGCGTCTTCGAATCTCGTCGGTTCCACTTTATAGCACAAAACAAAAACATGACAATGCGCTCGCCACGTCATTTTCCCGATTCACATTCACCTTATCTGAAAATACCACGAAAAGGGATTTACTACAGGAAAAAAAGAGGAATAAAAAACTATACAAGAACTGCAAAGCACACCATTCTCACGTTCACACACACACACAAGAAGTGTGTCTATACCGTGGCAAGAGAATAGCAGTCGGTGCCTTCTTTTGCAACAGACAGATGACACAACCGGATTCAAGAGGATCCTGACCGAGGGGACGGAAAAGGAAGAGATTTCACACATAGCCTTTCTTACCTACCGAGGAGTACAGACCTTTCTCGAGATATACACAGACACAAACTGTGACGAACAGATGAAGAATTTACCTCTTGTGAAATTGATATTTTTTAAAGGGAAGAATTAAAAAAAAAAGTAACATGAAAACCCTGTGAGCGTTTCACTGACATTGGTATATACAGCCTGTGTTGGTCACGAGCTCCCGGAAAGCTTCTGTACAGAAAAAGACAACATGTACTGTGTTGTTATGTTGTGTAAAATAAAAAGGGATAAAATGAAAACTGGACATGTGAAAAGTACGTTTTTATACCGGTTGAAATTGTACTTAATTGTTCCATATTTCCATTCAAACACAACATGAATGGGATGTCACAGTCACTCTTCATCTTTCATCAATGTTTGTGCCATCAACTGTTCCTCCCATTATTGCAACATTTCAATCGGAACAAACAATTTCCCCCTTGCAAATCACAACCGACGGGTGGTAGTTTCTAATTAAAACCCTTGACGTTTCCCATTTTCATTCCTCTTTTCTGTGATTTGATGCCAAAGTGTCAGAAACCCTGGACACACAGACATATTGTCCCCCTGTGGCCCCCATCCGAAAGAAAAGTCTATCATAATACTATTTGTGTGCAAAGATTGCTGTGACTTTAGCCAAAGTTGACAGTAATGTATTTTTATTTACAATAATGTAATCAGTCAGACATATTGTGAGGCTGTTAATTTACTATAGAGTCTTATTTTCCAAACCTCTCACATTTCAGAGTGTGACAATTCAGAAAAAGTGCTCTCGCGAGGCCTTGACAATGACGAAGACGAATGGGATATGTTGAAATATTGAGATAATCAAACTTTAACGTGTAGAACAGTAGCAGTAGTTATTGAAATAGAAGCTAGGTGACAAGAGGCAGGACTTTTTCTCTTTTAAAACGATAGTCTTATAAATGAACTGCTTTTCATTCTATTTAAAGGAGACATGCTGCTGAAGATACAGTGTGTGAGTCTTAAACCATCATAGTATAAAAAAAAACCGGCATCTTGGTAGGGGAAAATACACATTTCTTCATCGTAAAGAAAGTAGCAACAGTGCAGAAAGTAAAATATACTTAAAGGGGACATAGTTTGCTCGTGTTTAGGCTTTACACTTTTATTTTGGGTTCCCACAAGAACATGTGTACAGGGTTCCATATTCGGGAAAATACTCTTTTCCTCGTAGTGTCTCTCTGAAAATATCAGTTTCACCTTCCGTCTGAAATGCTTTGTTTTGGCGACTGTTCCTTTAAGACCTCTGGAAAAGCCTGGTGTGCCCTGATTGGTGGGCAAGAAATACTGCAGCGATAGTTCAAAGGGGCACTTTTTTAAAGATATTTTTCCTTTTTACTGCCAAACTAAAGTAATCATTATGCAAAATGGATCAATATTGTAACGGTGTAATGAACCATTGGATTATAATTAGTGATGTATTCATTTGCACATCCCTTTAATGGGCAGGTGGGATAATTGTGTCTTTATTGTTACTGCCGGATAGCAATGCATCATCATTTGATTGTTTTATATTTTGTATTGAGAATCTAAATCTTTGAATAGTAACCAAACTAGCCAAATCAATGTCGTAAAAATGACAACATTGTTGTATATTATAGTTACAGAGTGCTTTGGAAAGACATAAAAAGCAAGAGAAGTTAATAGATTGAAAAACGCAAAATATTGACCTACAAAATGTAGTAAAAAATCATAAGTTGCATAAAATTAATTTAATTAAATATACCTAGTTGAATTCCAGCACTACAGGGTGACACATGGAGGACATAGCATGGTGCTCATGAGTCATAACTCAGTTTTAATCTGAAGATACAGCATCATACACATTACCATCATTAGTTACTATTTTCAGCTACATCAAATATATTACATGGTAATGTATTCAATGTTAATTTCTGCTAAAGCACCAAAATATCCAGGATTGAAGCAAAGTGAAAACATATGAATTGCCGTTAGTTCTGCTCTGTTTCATGTTTACTGACGTCTTGCATAATGGAGAGGTGACTCATTTATTGGAAAGTTTTGGTGCCTGTCATCGCGCATCATCAGCACTACGGGTTCCTGTGGAGAAGGACAAGTCCTGCAGCGCCTCCCCGCACTTTATGTTTTTATTTATGTTCCCTGGTGATCATGGGCAATATTACTTCAGAGTGGAAGTGGACCGTATGTCCTAAATAATGATGGACAGGTTATGTACTACAATATATATATATACAGAGAAGCCGACAAATACACACAAAAAGCACCTTTTTTAAAAACGTTTCACTTTTCTGATTGTTCGGTGAAAGTCTCAAATAATTCCTCCCACTTACTGCCATGGATATGTTTTACCATGGTTACTAAATTATCTTGTATAATTAGATAAATCGTGTCCTTGACAGTCACCATTATAAGCAGATGAATTCAATGGTAATTAAGGTTGGAATTATTGCTAGAAATGAACAATGCCAGCGTTTGATTGGACCAAAGACAATCAGGTCCGCTTCTACATTATCAGCTGACACTCCAATATGTAAAGCAAGTGACCAGGAGGAAGAACATTAGTTTCTTTTAAACTGCAACATTTCAAGCAAAGACAACACGGTTGTGTACTAACCTTTGATGTATCGACTACCAATGGGAGGCAATCACAAGAGCCGTGTAATAACATATACAGTTGAGTTAATTTGAATGACATCAAACAGGAGAGCAGTGATATTACCAAATCTAATACAAGTGATAAATCAAGAAATATATTCAATTCATTCCTAAACTCCACCATCTCATATAAATACTTTGTGATCACAGGTATAAAAATGTTAGAGACCAAACAACAGTAAGCAAGACATTTCTTATTGACCGAAATGTTAATGTTCACCAAATGTCTTAAAACTGAAAACACAAGATGTCATGGTAGCAACCTGTCAATCACAAGGTAGCCAACCCTAAAGCGTACCTAATTTATTCTAAATGGGACCATAATGTATCCAATGAACACCATGCTGGATTCCAGAAGACTTGACTCTACAGATTGAGAACACAAAGTCATTAGGAAGTGTGTCACTGAGGTAATAAATAAAGTGAGTCTCTGGCCATCACCATCTTGGTTTAACTTGGTACAACCAATCACTGAATTATACATTTCTTGGTGAACAACATGTTAATGTTGACTGAATGTCTTAACCTTTCAAATGAAAAAACAATCTGAAAGGGGTAAAGCCAGATAACGCTGTGGTAGCAACCTGTCAATCACAAGGTGGCCACGCCCTAGCCTAGATCATAGAAAATTCCACACTCAATCACCTTCTGGTAAGAAAAGAACAAATCTACAAGCTTCAAACCAAAGTTGTGTTATTTAATAAAGAGTTATAGCATTTAACAGAATCAATATTCAGTCCTGCACTAGTAGATAGTACCAAGATCTGACCACGTACAACAGAAAATACAGGCACTTTATACACTCAAAACACACAGAAAGGGGAGGGTCTCAGCGAGGCAATATACATTACAGGAAGTATTGGCCAGATGGTTGAAACTTGCATACACGGTCATTACAAACCTAATATCAATCCTAACAATGGTTAAAGACACAGCTTTCTGTCTGTTCTAAGGAAGTGAATATTAAGTAGCTAGATGTGAATTCAAACCGCGAGGAAATCAAACCAGAGAAGGAAGTTATATACTTAAATGAGACTTAATGATGTATTTACTACAACAACAACAACAACAACAACAACAACAACAACAACACACATGCCATAAACAGCATAACATCTGTCATCACAGACCAGCAGCACCCACGGCAACGAGGCGACCCGGGGGCCACCGCCTGTGTGGGTGAAGTAATTATTGGTTAACATCAATGCAGGAAATTGATTAACTTTGCAATTAAATCACTGACAATTGTTTGACATTAAACACTTCTGACAGGCGATCGCAAATGGATGCTCTCACTTCAATTATCAGATATTGCCGTTTTAATGGAGAACATTGAATTGACTGAACTGATTGAGAATCATTACTGACCTTTAGTGAGCATATTTCTGTTTTTCCTGCAGTCACTTTAGGTCAAATTATAAATAATGAAGTCAATAAAGCTGACGTCCCTTATCCTGCAAAGTTATTTAATTAAAGAGAGTGAGATAAAAACTCCAACTCAAGAGGGATTAAAACCAAAATTACCCCCACTAGCGCACTCTGGTTCGTCCCCTGGTTTTGAATAACAATAGCTGATGACGCCAGCAGAGATCAGGTGAATATTTAAACAGGAACACGAGTCGCTGGAGAGACACCCGATAGGAGGAGAGAGGAAACAATTGTCCTTGTTTAATTTGAGTAAAAAGCACATTGACTCCGCTGTACAGCTGCCCATTACAGACACAGATGTCCCACAATCCTCCTCTCCTTAAAGCGGTGTCAGTAATGCCTAGGTTCATGCCTCCTTCAATGACCTTCCTCTGACTTTCTTAAGCTGTAAATGCTAAGAGGCTTTGGAGGATCCAATCCCTCTCTATATCCTTCTTCCTCATTTCTCCCTCCCTCCTTCAGTTTCTATGATTCATCAGTTGTATTTCTTATAGAAGAAGCTCAAAGTAATAATTACACTTACTAATTATAATTAACGTGCATAGGTTTTAGGGCCTGTGTCCACAAAGCGCCTTTTTCTAAACTCAAGCATATTTTTTAAAGGGGCCCTATTATGCAAATGTCCAGGTTCATATCAGTATGTAGTGTCTCTACTGTGACATGTCTCCATGCTTTAATGTTCAAAAAGCTCTTTATTTCTCTCATAATGCCTGTGCTGCAGCTCCTCTTTTCACCCTCTGTCTGAAACCAGAGCCCAGTCTGCTCTGATTGGTTAGCTGGCCGGCTCTGTTGTTATTGGTCAACCTCTTAGAGATGTCCCGTCCCTTAGCCTATCAAGTACAATGAATTTAAGTGCTAGTCAATAGAAGCACGAGTATTACATAGTGATGTCACTATGTTCTGGAAGTAAAGGAGTCCAATGGAGGCGTTTCAGGCAGGGGGGGAGTGTGTGGGAGAGAAACTCACTCTGGAGGGAGCTCCAGGTTTTAACCCTTTGCAGACCATTTACATGCACTAAAACCTACAGAGCACACTACAGGATGGGGTGAACATCAAATAGCACAAGAGGGGCTTTCTTTCTGACCGCTCTGCCTTTTGTGTGCGCCCTCTCCAAGCACTTGGGGTTGAAAATATTCAAATGTAGAGTTTTGTTTTTAGTTTTTTATTGTTG